TCATTTTCGTTGTCTGCATTTAGATTTTCTTCTTCGAAATATTGTTTCCATCTCATTATAATTTTTGCTTATTTGTTAGTAGTTCTCAGTCCTTGTCTTTGCATATCGTTAGTTTTGGTCTAAATGACTGTGTGCTTTCTTTTATGCATTTATAGAATTTTCTGCTTTCGCGTCTGTTGTTATGCTTTACGATTCCTTGTACTTGTTTTTTCAATAGCCTCCTTTTTCTTTCTTCGGCATAGTCTAGTCGCTTGTATTCTTTTTTCGTTATAAATCTCACTGCTATTTTCTTGTGTTTCTTTGAAGTTGGTTAAGCCTAGCTTGCCTTTTTTCCTCTACTGCAGTTCTGCATTCATCATCATACCATTCCGCATTTCTTTGCCTTTTGGCAGTTTTCCTCTGCTGACTCTGTTATAATTGTTTCTAATTGTCTAAATTCCTCCTCTGCAGTATCTTCCTCTCTAGTTCAGTTGAGTTTTATTTGGAGAGCATTTCTGTAATCTTGTCTCTTGTTGCGCTTTTGAATTCTTCGACATTCCATTTTTTGATTTGAATATTTTTCCCTTTTGCTACTGTCGCTATTTTCTACCGTAATTTTGCCCTACAAAGATAGTGATCTGGTCAGAGTTCGCCCCGCAATACGTTTCTGACATTAGTTATGTCTGTTCCCATCTTTTTGAGATGAGTATATGGTCAATTTGATTTGCTTTCTTAGTTCCTGGTATTTTTCTTGTTCCTTTATGGATATCTTTTCTCTGAAAGTTAGTACTGACAACTACGTAATTATTTGCTGCTCCGGACTGTGACACCCTGAGTCCATTTTGACTGTTTCAGTGTGCAAACTGGTTTCCCAAATATATTTTGCAAACGTTTTCTTCTTTCCCCAGTTTAGCGTTAAAATCGCCTAACGTTATAACAGCATCGTGTCTTTGGATTTTATCACATACATCCTGTAGTTCTCCGTAGAATCTTTCAACGTCTTCTTCATCAGCCTCTTCCGTCGGTGCATATACATTAACCATTGTCACGTTATGAAATTTACCTTTAAATCTTATGGTGCAAATTCTATCTGATATTGGTGTAAATGCGATAATGGCTTTCCGCAGTTTTTTTGGGTATTATAAACCCCTACTCCTCTTTCACACCTTGTCTCATTTCATTTCCGGAGTAGTATAGTGAGAATTTATTCTTATGAATTTCTCCCGGGCTCTTCCATCTGATTTCCTGCAGTGCCAATATTTCAACTACCCCGTATTTTTCAAGTTCTTCTGCCATACTTATCATAGCTCCTGCCTTTAAGAAGGTTCGCACGTTCCGGTTCTAAATTTTAAATCCATAATCATGTCCATTTTTCTGTGCTGAGTTCGTTGTTATGAGATCCGTCCGTTTGTTTCATTAGCCATTGTATTCGCAACAATTGAGTTTCTACAAGGAGGGTTGTTAACCCTTCGCTCAACCCCCTTTTTCAATCAGGACCAAGCTCCCTTCTTTGTCTGCCCTGACCCCACCATCCACTGAGGTTGGTTACCCAGTCTCCAGTGGGTTGCTCAGGTTACCGGTGGTTACCAGCTTGGAGGTGAAGATAGGAATTGAGTAGGAGAGGCTAAGTGATGCTAACAGGATACGACATCATGTATTGCGCTTCACTAGTTTTTCTTAAAACAGTTTTTGGAAAATTTTAATATAAATGGTGGACTACCAGTTTTTAATAGGTAGGTACTTGGAATTTGGTCCTTAAAGACTCCCATTGACTGAAAGTTTAAAATCGCAAAGGGAAATCTTCTTTTGATATCCACTGTTATAATAAAATATGTTTCACATGAATAGTAGCTCAGCATTTGTTCACGTAAGTGTATACCACATTTATATTTATTATATTAATCAATTAACTTCTAAATATCAATCCTCCTCTTGATCTAATTCTAACCTCTGACAACGAACGAATTCTGAATATATCATGTATATATCTCGTTTATCTCGCATTTGGTCACACATATATTCTTCAGGACTGTAAATACTGACCATCTCACGTTGTTTTTAGTTTCTTTGACAAGTAGAGATTGTCTATTCGGTTATTTTCTTAATATAGACTATTTAGCAATTTGTCTAGATTGTCCTACTAATTGAACACTATATAGAAGTTATCAGTGGTCAATCTACGTTTATGTTCACATCTAGCTTTTTTAGATGTCGAAAGCATATTATTTACATCATTTTTTTTTACAAATATAATACAATTAACAAAAACAATTTTATAACTCACTTTTACAGAGGTAATTAACAATAAAAACGTACTAATAGAAACTAATAATTTACGATTTTCAATACTATAAGGGTACTTGAAGGAACAATACGTTTTCACGTAATAATAGTTCCTGTATAAGTGAAATTGTATTTTAATGTGCTTTATTGAAGCATACTAGACATATTGCAGTTTTACCATCACATGCTCCACAGTATGTTTTTAACTATTTTAACTTTTCTATCGGTCTTTCTACTAGTCATGTTCCTTCTTAAACTTTTGTAATATCTTGTACACTTTCTTCTCTTTTTATTACCTACGTCGCTTTGCCTAAGATGGTATTTTTTGGGTGTAACTGGTCGTGAGCGTTCCAACATTTATTTATTTGCAAATGTCTTCGCGAACACCAATCTGAACTCAATGATAGGTTGTCGCTTTTTCGCCTTTTCTATTATTTAACAACTAAGCATTGGCTACTGCGGTATTAAATATTAATTTCACTGCCACTTTCCGGTACCACTTCAGAATTTTGGATATTGGGTTCTGGTAAGAAGCAATTTGATTACTAAAAATCAACACTCTTTTTCACCAAGTTATAATCGAGAATAGCTTGTGGTTTTAGCACTTGTGTATAATTTTTTCTTTTCACCTGATTAAACCAAGATAAAACTATTATGTCGAAATATTGTAATAATTAAAACTGGTTTTTGTTGACACATTTTTTCACTTGTGAAATCAATAATGGGGTAAATTTCATTATAAGTAACCGTTTGCCACTTTTTTAATCAAGATTTTGGTTTTACATATTTTGTAGTAGACCATATGCACATAAATTCGTTTTTTAAACTATGATTATAATTTATCGACCAATATTCTAATAAAAAATGTTTTTTTGCGTCGTCCGAATGTTATAAACTTGTTCTCTTTTCACAAAGCCTACGAAATATGGTTTACATTCTACATTTAGAAAAATCTTTTATAATGCAAGTCTTGTTCGTTTACCTAAACTTAATTAATACACAAAACAAATAATCTATTGTTTTTATAGAAATGCATATTCCTGTCGGATTTGTATCAGTGGGGCATGAGTCACTGGTGTCCCGTATATCAGGACCTCTTATTGCATTACAAACATAGTTCTCAATTAGCAGTGTGGTACAAATTAAAGCCGTAATACTGTTCGTAAGACCATAAGACCGTATGTTATAAATAAATATATCCCTACAAGAATTATCTTGAAAAATGGGAAAAATACAATAAAAAAAAGCAATATCAAAAGGTATTTAAAAATGGCTAGTCATTCATGGGCGTACAGTTAAAAACAAAAGTTTTCAGTGTTCTATTGCTTGATTATTATTATCTGGTTGGTATATTTTAAAAAATACTAGCTAAGTATTCTGCAAATGTTGACATTTTTTTCTGGTCTGATCTGCCTCAACTAACGTCATATTTTTAAATGGTGTATTATTTCATATTCTTAAATGTATATTATATATTTCACGTTCTACGAGCATTCATTCCACGTTTGACACACTGTCTTATTTAATTTTCTGTCATTCTATTTGTTAAATCCTATCCAATTTACGTCACAGCGTCAAGGAGCAGTAAATGTGCAGTGAACGGGAGGCATATGTCTAACAGTGAATGTTGGAACTTTTTCGCGTTTATCATATGTAGCGTAGTTGACTAAAAGTAGACGTATGCAAATCATATGCTATTCGCTAAATTCTGTCACGTAA